CTGCTGCTACCAGAGACCATACTAGGTACTGTGATTTTCATCAAGATCACGGTCATACAACAGAGCAATGCAATAGTTTGAGGTCCGAGCTGGAAAGTCTGGCGCAGAAAGGAATGTTGAATGAGTACATCCAGAGAGTGGAACAGCCAAGGTTTGTCAGAGAATAAGGGCCACAGCATCAAGGAGTCCGCAATCCCCCAAACAAGCAAGGTGTGGGATATCAGCAGGCCTCACCACCACTCCCACCACCAGCTAGAGTCATACACATGATTACGGGAGGTCTGGAAGCAGGTGGACTCAGCTCTAAGCAGCGAAAGATGTATGTCAGAGAGGTTAAGCACCAGAACTGAGCTCAGAAGTGAAAATTTGACGATGCTGAGTGGAAGAATCAACCCATCACTTTCACATCTGCTGATCTCGAAACAATTGTCACACCTCACAATGATCCTCTAGTCACTTCTATCATGATCAACAATTGTGAGGTGCAGCGTGTCCTTGTTGACACAAGGAGTGCACCCGACATCATGTACTTCCATTGTTTTGAGAGTCTTGGGTTAGATCCAGCTCTGTTGCAGTGGTATGATGGTCCCATCTATGGGTTCAACAACCAACCAGTTCCAGTTGAAGGAGTCCTCACCATGAATGTTGCATTTGGAAGTGGCCGAAGTTATGTGACCCCTTCCGTGAGGTTTTTAGTAGTCAAGATAGCGTCCTCTTTCAACGGTGTCATTGGCCGACCTACACTGATTGAAATCCGAGCTGTAGTTTCCCAGTCTCACCTCTGCATGAAATTCCCAACTCCTACGGGAATAGCAACGCTGCGAGGCAACCAGGAGGTGGCCCGACATTGCTATATCACCTCGGTCACACAACCTCAGAAGGGCAAAGACCAGACACCCGAGGTCAATCCCAAACGGATTCCTGACGATCGGCAAGTTATGGGTGTGGAGATCGTACATAACCGACCAGAAGATGAAACCAGAGCTACCCCAGTCGAAGATGTGGAAGAAGTATAGCTTGACGACAGAGATCCGAGCCGAAAAACGCAGATTGGGACTAAATTGAACCCAGAGGAAAGAGCAGAGCTAATAGCTTTTCTTCGGGACAATAAAGATGTTTTCGCATGGACTTCCGCAAATATGCCGGGAATTCCCACTTCAGTTTCTCAACATAAACTCAGCACCAATCCACTCAAGAAACCCGTAGCCCAGAAGCGGCGCCTCTTTGGGGGAGAGAGGTTAACAGTTATTAAAGAAGAAGTCGAGAAACTCCTACAAGCTGGCTTTGTCAGAAGGGTCGATTACTGTGAGTGGGTCGCCAATCCAGTGCTGGTGAAAAAAGCAAACGGTAAATGGCGGATGTGCATCGATTACACTAACCTCAACGATGCATGTCCAAAGGACTGTTACCCAATGCCGAATATTGATAAGTTGGTTGAGGCAACTTCGAGAAATGAGAGGTTAAGTCTCTTGGATGCATATTCAGGATATCACCAGGTGTCAATGGCTCCAGAAGACGAAGAGAAAACCTCGTTCTATGTCGGTGACGAAATCTATTGCTACGTGATGATGCCCTTCGGCCTGAAGAATGCGGGTGCCACTTACCAGAAGATGGTTACCATCGTATTCCGAGCTCAAATAGGCCGGAATCTGGAAGTATATGTTGATGATATCGTAGTAAAAAGTTTGAAAGTTGTAGATCACTTAAACGACCTCGAGGAGACATTCAACAACCTCAGAAAGAACAGAATGAGGCTGAATCCAGCAAAGTGCATCTTCAGCGTGGAGTCTGAAAAATTTTTAAGCTTCATGGTGTCCAGGAGGGGGATCGAGGTTAACCCCGAAAAGATCAAAGCAGTAGTCGAGATGGAACCACCGAAGTCAGTGAAAGATATACAGAGGTTGACTGGAAGAGTGGCAGCTCTTCATCGATTCATATCGAAGTCAGCAGATAAATGCTTGCCATTTTTCAAGATTATGAGGTCAGCCGCCTAGAAGGATGAATTAGGTAAACAGAAGAAGAAGTTTGAATAGAGTCAGGAATACCAAGCCGCATTTGATGAGCTGAAGTCTTATCTTAGCTCACCACCTCTACTAACTAAGGCCGTAGATGGAGAGATTCTTTATTTGTATCTGGGAATTTCAGACGAAGCCATTAGCTCGGTCCTGGTAAGAGAGGAAGCCAAACAGCAGAAGCCAATCTATTACATCAGCAGTGTGCTGCATGGAGCAGAGCTGAGGTACCCCCTTGCTGAGAAGGCAGCTTTAGCAGTTGTCACTTCGGCCAGGAAGTTGAGGCCATATTTCCAATCACACCCGATCATTATCCTTACAGACCAACCTCTTCGACAGATCCTACAAAAGCCAGAATGCTCCAGAAGACTAATTAAATGGGCAGTGGAGCTGGGGGAATTCGAGATAACATTTTAGCAGAGATCTGCAATCCGAGCTCAGGCACTGGCAGATTTTATTGTGGAATGCACTCCATGTCATTCAACCCCCAATCTAGAGCCCAACGAGTGGACCTTATATGTTGATGGGGCATCTAATAGCAAAGGTTCAGGGGCTGGAGCTCTCTTGATTGGCCCAGATGGGTACCGAAGTGAACATGCCCTGAAGTTCAACTTCGATGCAACAAATAACATGGCTGAGTATGAAGCTCTGCTACTTGGTTTACAACTAGCATTGGAGTTGAAAATCAGCGCAATCCAGGTGTACAGTGACTCCCAGCTGGTGGTGAATCAAGTCAACTCAATATGCGAAGTTGTCGATCCGGTGATGATGAAGTATGTAGCCCTTGTGGCCGAGCTGAAGTGCAGATTTCAGAGGTTCTGTCTAAGCAAAATTCCTCGGGCTGAGAATGAACAGGCAGATTCACTTTCTAAATTTGCCTAGGATAGCTCTTTAAGTTCTAGATCAGTTTTTGTGGAGGTCTTAGATGCACCAAGCTTCACGAAGCTGCGGGTGATGGAGATCAGCATAGATCCAGGCACGCCAAGCTGGACTGACTCAATTGTCTCCTTCCTACGAGACGGGGTAATACCTGAGAATAAGTAGGAGGCAATGAAGTTGAGGAAGAAAGCATCCCAGTAGACACTTGTTGATGGGGTCCTCTATAAGAGATCTTTCTCACTCCCTCTCCTACGGTGCTTAAATCCCTATGAAGCAGAGTATGCACTCAGGGAGGTGCATGAAGGTGTCTGCGGAAGTCACATGGGGGCTCGAACTTTGGCTCATAAAGTCCTTAGACAGGGTTATTATTGGCCCAACATGTACAAGGATGCCACTCACTTTGTTCAGAGATGCTTGAAATGCCAGTTCTTTGCGCACCTGACTCACCAGCCTGCAGAAGAGCTCACTACTCTGGTAGCACCATGGCCATTTGCTCAGTGGGGATTGGATCTTTTGGGCCCATTCATGAAGGGGGTTGGTGGTGTAACCCACTTGATTGTTGGTGTAGATTATTTCACAAAGTGGGTTGAAGTTCGGCCGTTATCTAGTCTTACTTCCAAGAAAGTTGAAGACTTTGTTTTCAGCTCAATCATCTGCAGATATGGGATCCCGAATCAGATTGTGGCTGATAATGGAACTCAATTTAACTGCACCTCTTTTCGAGATTTCTGTTCCAGCTACAGGATTAAACTGCAGTTCACCTCGGTTTATCATCCAGAGTCCAACGACATGGTCGAATCTGTTAACAAATGCATTTTAGAAAGTATAAAGCCGAGATTAGAACAGCATAAGGCCAAATGGGCAGACGAGCTCAACAATGTTCTCTGGGCATACAGAACCACGAGCCGAACCGCCACAGGTATTACTCCAAACCTGACCTACTTGATTAATTTTTATATATTGTTTTACTTTTTCTGCTACGGCTTTACCTTAGAGCAAATATGCATAACGCGTAAAGCACATTCTAAAGTTATAATTAACTGAATTAGGCGAAACACCTTATCATCTGGCCTTCGGAACCGAAGCAGTCATTCCTATCGAGATAGGAGTCTTGAGCTTCAAGGTTACCCATTTCGATGAAGGACGAAATGGACAGTTGCTTCGAGAGAACCTCGATCTGCTTGATGACGTTAGAGAAGAAGCACGACTTCAAACTCTAGTCTACAAGCAGAAGATAGCAAACTTCTACAACAAACGAGTTCGACCCCGAACATTCAATGTAGGAGACCTTGTTCTCAGGAAAGCTGGTCTAACGGGATTCGAAACTCGATTCGGAAAGTTAGCACCAAACTGGGAAGGCCCCTACACTGTCACCGAAGTGCCGCACCCAGGTGCTTATATCCTACGAGACACGGACGACAAAAGGGTTCCCAGAGTCTGAAATGTCAATAATTTGAAGAAATTTTACCCTTAATGCATCTCTTTCCAGTAAACTTTGTCTCATTTTTATATTCGTTGTTATTCTATTTGCTCGATGTGTGTCTGAACTCAATTCATTTATCTCAATAATGGGTGTCACTTCACATTTGAAGTGATTCAGTTCTTCCTACCCTTCTACGCGTTGGAAGTGGGTTTCAATTATTTTCGAAGTTAGCTCATTATGACTTATTCCTTAGGATAACGATTTGGTTAATCAGTTACATTTTACTTTTGAAGTGCTTTACTTCATCCTTTCTCATTTGTCTACTTGCGGTCCGTTTCATGCTTATCCAGAGTCAATTCCCTTGACTGTTCATTTTATGATGTCCGAAGTCAGATCCTTGCATTGGATAAAGTCAACTCGTTTCACCTGAAGTGATTTGCTCGAAACAGAAAACAGCAAACAAATATTAAAATGTGCAAGTCACAAATAACTTCACAAATTTTATAAATTCATAAACAATCAATTACAAAAATATTTTTACAACAAATAAAGTAAAAACTCCTAAGCTAAATCTGCTGAGGGAGGGGACTGCTCCTCAGCGGGAAGAGGTGGTGGAGGTGGCTCGTCTCCAGAAGGAAGGGGTGGCACTTCTGCTTTAAAAGGGGCCAACGTCTGCACTTCGTCAGATGAGACTGGATGCACCTCAGGAGGCTGCACTTTAGCTAGAGCTGCCTGATCCTCAACTCCAGCGCCTTGCGCTTCTTCTTCTCCTTCTTCTTCTCCCTTCACTGCCACCAGCTTGGCCTCAAAGTCTGGAGGAAAGATAGTGCATCCCTCTGCATCATGCTCCCACCTCAACTTGATCAAAGGTTGGAAGTCAGCACAGAGACTCTCACCATCCTCCTCCACTCCTTCTTCTTGTTCTCCAAAGGTGACCGTTGTCATGTCCACCTCTGGGTACTGGGCCTTCACCTTCTTTCTACAATCGGTGAAGGCCAGGATTGCGGTTGGAAGCCGGTACAACTCGAGGATGCTCTCGAAGGTGTTGGAGTTGAGGAAGTTGCCAATGTGCCCCTCCATCCCGTTGTGCACCAACAGCTCCACGTTCTTCTTTAGCTCCACCGCCCCTTTCTTCAGGCTCTCGATATATTTGTCTTGAGCTTCAAGCTTCTCTTCGCAGATTTTCCTCTTACGTTCCTCAAGAGAGAGTTTCATGCTCAAGACACTGTTGTCGCTCTAAAGCTCGGTCACTGTTGGCGTCACCTCATCCAGCCTCCTCTGCATCTGCTTGTTTTTCTTCTGCAGCTCCTCTTTTTCTTTCAGCAGAGCCTCACATTGCCTCTGCCAGTTGGCACAATCTCTTATGCTCTCTGCATACTCCTGCACAAGAGCATTGACCCAGCTCGCACTCTGCAATGTAACTAGAGGTCAGAACTCAAAGGTAGAGGTCATACAGTTCAAGGTAAAACATGTATAAACCATAACTTCTCTACATACCTCCAAGGTGTGCCTTACAACACGGGCACCCAAGTGGCTCACCGCCTCTTGCCTCGCTTGCCTCCTATCCACCTCAGGAAGCGTGGCGTTGAGAAATCGTTTAGCCCCGGTCGTGTTCGTGGCCTCGAACAAACTCTTCTGGTATGAATGTGGGGGGACAAGCTCCTCGCCCTTGCCAGGACCTCGCACCCCAGCCTCTTCCCCCTCCCTGAGCTCCAGGTCAATCTCAAGTGGTGACGGTCGAGGGACGAATTCAATCACCTCATCCCTCCTCACCTCTGGTTCAGCCACCTTCCTCTTCTTTCTCTGAAGTGGGGCTACCTCCTCACTCACCTCCTCACTATTCCCCCCTACAGGCTCTAGCCTCTGCTGTATCTCCAGCACTCGAGCAGAAGTGCTGGGCAGGCGCTCTTTCTCTAGCACCCCTCTGTTCGTCGCAGCTGAAGTCGTTGACTTCTTCCTTGGCTTCTTTGGGATGCGCAGTCCTCCAGCAGCACTTACAAAATCGTCCATCTCAGCTGCAGAGCAAAAACAAGTGTTAAAACACAATAACTGGGAAATCAATTAAACTGCAAAAGGTAACAACATACACAAACCTTCGCTCAATGAGCTCGGCCCATAGAGCTCAGTAGCCTCTATTGCATTCGGGCTGGTGAGGTACAGGATATCCACTACGTCTCCTTCTTCCCTCACCAACTTTCCTACCTCCTCCACCTCATCCTCGTTCAACTTATAGTTGTTCTGCTTGGTTTTCTTTGTTTTCCAAGCAGACAACTGTTCCACTTCGGCATCCCTCCTACTCCACTCGGTGTCATCCACAAAGAAGAACTTTTCTTTCCATCCTTTGATGGATGACGGTCCAGCAGAGAATAAATTCCTATTCTCTTTGCTGGACGACCGAGGACCGAAGTAATACCACCCCTTCTCCCCCCTACCCCCAGCCTTAATTATAAAAAAATGTTTGAACATATTCACTGTAGGGACCCCAACCCCCCGAACTCTGCAGTATACAAGAAAACCTACTATTACCCTTATGGCATTTGGGGTTAGTTGGGTTATTCCTATACTATAATCTAATAATAGCCCAACCAGTAATTCTGGAATGGGAAACCTAAGCCCTGCAATCAAGTAGTGGAGGTATATGGGCATCCAATGGTCTCGGGGTGCTGAGCATGCCCTCTCATTCACCCCTGCAGGCCTGATTAGGACATGGTGAGGAAGGTTACAGTTCCCTACTAACCCCCTAAGGCTACTCCTACTACCTAGTTCGCTCACATACCCCCTCACCTCATAAACTATCTCTAAGTCCGGGTCATAGCACCCATCTACGCCACCCCCAGATTCCAAAACATTTGAGGGGATCTCCTCTACTACTCCTTCATCCCTCCTCTACTACTCCTTCATCCCTCCTCTCCTCCACCGTCCTCTCCGAACTAGTTGGAGACGGACTGCTCTCCGTATCCACACTACCGTAATCCAGGGGCATCACTTCACTCCCCACTACACTCATGGCCTCTTCTGAAGACATCTCAATTTCTGCATAAAGGGGGAGGAGGAACGATGTCAGGACCCTTAACAATTCCAACACACTCAACACATTCTCACTCCCAACTCTAATTTCCTCCAAAAAAAACCCAAAATCAACCACAGAAAGGGAGAAAGGAAAGCACCACTTCAACAAAATCAAAGTAAAAAATTCATAAACTTTACCTAATTTTGGTCTTGGAAACTGTTGTTGAAGTCTTGATTGAAGCG